GATGTGAAGAAAGACATAGTCAAATTGAATAGGCTTACTGAGAAGAAATTGGGAAGAATAAAAAGACCTCTAAGCTAGACATAATAACTGTGAGTCTTTAGAGTACAAGAGAATAAGATCCTAAAGGCCCCAAGATGGAAAAAAGAAGCTCACCTACAAAGGAACAGGAAGGAGACTGGCACACATTCTTTATCAGCAACCCTGAAAACCAGAAGATAATGAATAATGCATTATTGGCCACCTAAAATTCCAGACCCCAATAAACTATCATGAAACTGTGAGGACAAGAAAATGCCTTTTCAGGGATACAAAAACTCTGCTTTCTTCAGAGTTCCTTTTCTGAGGTTACTTAAGGATGTCCAGTAAGAAAAGGCAGTATACCAAGAAGGAAAAATCAGGGATTTAATGAAACCATTCCAACAGAGGAGAGCAATAAAAGGAGTTCCAGTCTGCTGGCTGTGCAGAAAGGCCTAGAAAACAACTGGCCTATGTTGGAATGGGAGAATGAAAGGTTTGACAGTATTCAGGAAGGGGAAAAAAAAACCCAGACTCCAAAGATAGGATACTGTATTGGAGGTTAGAATAGACCCCGAATCACCAAGGAAATGTTGAAAAAGAAAAACAAAGCTGGGGGCATCACGTTGCCCGATTTCAAGCTGTATTACAAAGCAGTGATCACCAAGACAGCATGGTACTGGCACAAAAACAGACATATAGACCAATGGAACAGAATAGAGAGCCCAGACATGGACCCTCAACTCTGTGGTCAAATAATCTTTGACAAAACAGGAAAAAATATGCAATGGAAAAAAGACAGTCTCTTTAATAAATGGTGCTGGGAAAATTGGACAGCCACATGCAGAAGAATGAAACTCGACCGTTCTCTAACACCATGCACAAAAATAAACTCAAAACAGATGAAAGACCTCAATGTGAGACGGGACTCCATCAAAATCCTAGAGGAGAACATAGGCAGTAACCTCTTTGACATCGGTCACAGGTAGTTCTCTCAAGATACATCTACAAAGGCTAGTGAAACAAAAGCAAAAATGAACTTTTGGGACTTCATCAAGCTAAAAAGCTTTGGCACAGCAAAGGAAACCGTCAACAAAACCAAGAGGCAACCCACAGAATGGGAAAAGATATTTTCAAATGACACTACAGAGAAAGGGCTGGTATCCAAGATCTATTAAAGAACTTCTCAAACTCAACACCCAAAAAACAAATAATCAAGTCAAAAAATGGGCAGAAGACATGAACAGACACTTCTCTGAAGAAGATATACAACTGGCTAACAGACACATGAAAAAAATGTTCACTAGCGTATATTTTAAAGCACCTGTGTGACCTACTTCTTTACTGAATTCCAAGCAGCATGTTAAGGAACAAAAAGAAATCTGCTATCAAGATGTACCTAATGAAGTGTTACTGGCATTTGTACGTTAAAAAAAAAAAAAAAAAGCTATATAGAGGGGAACAGAATAGGGCAGCAAAGGCAAATAATTACTAAATTCACAATGTAGTGTGTTGTCGCATTTCCAATTACCAAATTCTCTGTACTCATTTGTTCCTTTGGATCACACGCCTTATGTGGGCAGGCAGCATTACGTAAATATGACGACTAGAAGCTGAGCTAGGAAATGCTAACTGGATAAAAAGTTCAACTATGTTTTTGAATCAAAGAAACTCTTTAAATTGAACATATGGTTATTACAATAGAAATCTAAACAGACCTTCTGATGACTTGCTCTGATGATTTCCATTTCTTGGGGTCTCTCTATAAGACAGTTAAATTGCAAATGGGTTATATGTATTTTGAGCTTAATTCTGCCTCCTTAGTTAAGGAGATAGGGTTGGACAGTTCAGCAGTTTTGAATCTTAAAGGGCCTTTCACGCTTTCAAGACATTTTGTATTTTTCCTTAGCAGTATTACCACAAACATGATTAAGTAATTATTTGTATAGTTGTTTAATGAACATCTCTCTTGATAGACTAAGCTCTATGTGTCCAGAAACCAAATTGCCATCACCAGCAGTACAATGTGTAAACAAATACATGGAGATCATGGCAATCATTGATTGAGCAAATTTCATGTGAAAAATTTTTTAATAGGCGTTAGAAGATGCCATTGTGTAAACATGTTATCATTTGCACAAAAGGCCTCCATCCCTAAATGAGAATGATATGTAATAGATTGAATTAAATAGGAGGGTATCAAGGAGACATTTGTCTTTTATATTTGTTCACTGTGAGGACAAAGAGTTTTGTCTGATTTGTTTATAGGTTTATTTCTAGCAAAAAGAACAGTGTCTGTCACAGAAATATATGTTGAATCAATGACTTAATAAAAGTAATGGCACAACTTAATAATAAGAAAGTAAACAACCTAATAAAAAATGAGCAAAAGATTTGAACAGACTTCACCAAAAAACATACAGGATGGCACATAAGCACATAAAAAGATGATCAACATTATTCATCATTAGAAAAATACAAATTAAAACCACAGTGAGCTGTTGCTACACGTGTATTAGAATGACTAAAATAAAAATAACTAGCAGTAGCAACGGCTGATGAGGATGTGAGGTACTAGAATTCTCATAGGTTGCTGGCAGGACAGGCTGCTTTGGAAATCAATTTGTCAGTTTCTTACAAAGTTAAACATACATTTAGCATATGACCCAGCAACCCCAGGTCTAGAAATTTACCCAAGAAAAATGAAACCATTTGTCCACACACACATACTCACATGAAAACCTGAACATGAATATTTGTGAAGGCTTTATTCATAATTTCTAAAAAATTGGAACTAGTCCAAATGATCACTAACTGGTGAATGGATAAATGAATGGCTAAATAAACTAGGACACATTCATACAATGGAATATTATTCAGCAAGAAAAGGGAGCAAACTACTAATACAAGCAACAACAAGGATGAATATCAAATGCATTATGCTAAAGTGAAGGAAGCCAGAATCAAACAGCTCCATACTGTATAATTCCATTTATATAACATTCTGGAAAAGCTGAACTATGGGACAGAGATCAGATAAACACAGAGAAGTGCTCACAAGGGCTGGGGTGGAAAAGGAGAATTGACTACAAAGAGGGTAAACTCTTTGGAATGATGGAAATGTTCTGTATCTTGACTGTGATAGTGCTTACCCAACTATATTTGTCACAATTCCTAGAGCTGTATACCAGAAGAAGGGTGAACTTTATGTAAATTATACCTTAATAAACCTGACTCAGAACCAGACAAAGAAGGAGTTGATGAGGCTCTTCTCTGAAAGTAGTTAAGCAAGTAGATCATTAGCCTGCTGCCTTGAGAATCAGGAATGAACTCAGACTTTACCAAAGAACCAAAGAAATGAGTGAGGCTTGCTTCACTACTTATCATTCCACTATTCTTATTCTTTCTGTTAGGCTTATAACTTTCTTGTGGCAAGGTCTTTGGTTTTTGTGTATTGTGATAAAAAACCACTTATTAAGTGGTACCTGATATTTAGCATTGTGTAAGACACTGAACTTCCAGTGCCTCAGATGGGTCTAACAGATGCAGCACATGCCTTGTTTGCCACCCCATAGAGTAGCTATGAGAATCAGAAGATAGCATGCTTGTACTATGTAAACTGTAAGGTGCTAAGTAAATACAGGTGATTTTATTGCTAAATATTAAACCTAGATATAATAAACAAACTTGGATTTCAGGCATTGGAGAGCAACCCACAAACATGGTATGGATAAGGTGTGTAGGAAAGATTTACCTGACCTGCATCTATGTTTGGCCCCACTGCTACCTCCTTGTCCAGTGGAGAGAATCTGGTGGTCAGGAGTTTTGTCTGTAGCACCCATGATCGGCAGGAATGCAGTTTGATACGTTGGACGATGTGAAGTGACTCAAAGGACTGCAATAGGCAAACGTTGGACTTAGAGGCTCTGAAGGAGTGAATCTTCAACAAACGTTTTGTTTTTCTGTACTATCTAGTCTTTTATGAGATAGGGCTCTTGTTTTAGTCTAGGTGATCATTGTAGTAAATGTGCTGTATCACTCATGCACAACGTTTTCTTCTGATGCCTCATCTTCCAGTGTTTTTGCCACCCCAGGTCTCCATAGATTTTTGTTTCATGTGACAGCCAGCTTTGATCCTCATGAATATTGTCATGAACCCACTGATATCAGTGATAAGGTTTTAGCCACAGTCATAACAGATTTCTCTTCTTACTTTCTATACATACACACACCATTAGAAATTTTGCCTTTTTGCTTCTTAGATCGCTATGTACCCTGCTTGGAGAGGCACTCCATGTTGAGCTCAACAAATACTTATTTGGATGACTTTGAGAATTTATTTGTGGGGCATTGAAGAATTATAAAATAAGTTCTACTAGTAATATAGCCTTGGCCAGATCACTTAATATGTTTCTTTACTTGTGTGGTGTTTTTTTTTTTCTTGATTTTTAAATTTTTATTTATTTACTTTTTAAAGATTTGTTCATTTATTTTTAGAGAGAGAGCATGAGTGGGAGGGTCACAGAGAGAGAGAGAATCTCAAGCATACTCCTCACTGAGTGTGGAGCCTGATGCAGGGCTTGATCTCATGACCCTGATATTACGACCTGAAGCGAAACCAAGAGTCGGACACTTAAACAACTGTGCCACCCAGGCACCCCAGTTTTTTTTTTTTAAGTGGACTCCATGCCCAGCATGAAGCACAATGCAGGGCTTGAACTCAGGACCCTGAGATCAAGACCCAAACTGAGATCAAGAGTCGGATGCTTAACCAACTGAGCCACTCAGGTGCCCTCTGTTTCTTTACTTGTAAAAGGCAGGTAATAGTTTCAAATTTGCTACTGTCATCATGTTGTTGTAAGAATCACAATAGCTTAGGAAAGCTTGCAGCCAACTCTGAAATTCTGTGCCAGTATGAAGCAGTAATATTATTAATGGCATTCTTCTCATGATTTTACTACTGATAAATTATTGTGTTTCTCCAGGGAGAGCCACTCCGGGGCAGCTCATGTCCTATATTCAGCTCTTCAAGAACAACATCAAAGCTTTAGTGAATCACTGTGGGCTCCTACAGCTTGGGCTGGCCACAGTTCAAACTCTGAAACACCCGCAGACTGCCAAGTGGGACAACTTTCTGGCTTTTGAAAGACTCCTTCTCCAGGTATGTTGCTATGGGAGTTTCTTGGGATATTAATAGTTAAAATGCTTGCTTCTGGGAAAAAAACTTTGATGTTTATTGTAGTCTTAGTAATAAGTCATATTGTTGACATATACTCTGTATCATATTCTCTAAGAGCCTCCAAGTTAAAATTTTAGTAGAAATTTTCCATACCTTTGATTTTTTGTTTTTCGTTTTGTTTTTGTTTTTGTTTTGTTTTTTTTGACAGTGACATCTTTGGCTTGTCACTCAATACCAAGAATGTTTTTTGAGCATTTGACTAACCTCTTTTCAATTTTATGCATTTGGACCTTTCTTGATCTTCATGGTATCTTTATTCAATCCTTGCTACTTTCCTTGCAGAATATTACTACTGTTTACATTTCTTCTGACACTAACTAGTCTCTAATCCTCAAACAACATATAGCATGTGGCTTAAAATGATGCTTAGTAAAAGATGAATGAAGACAAACTACATTTGTGAATGTAGTGAATTTGACGTGATTTGTATGGGGTTAGGACCTTTTCATGATTGTTGAAATATTTTCATGTCAACCTTAAAAAATTATAAAGCATTTCAAACTAAAATAAAATAACATGACATATCTATATGTACTCCCCACATAGACTCAATGTAATTTTTCCATTTTTAATATCTTTTGTATCCTTTTTCATTAAAGAAATAAAACTAGAAATAAAGTTGAAACATCTCTGATACTTATACCTTTCATTACTCTGATTCTCCTTTTTTCTTTCCCAGAGGTAATCACAAACACGATTCCTTGTTTCTGTATTTTTATTAAATACTTATTTATCCATAAATAATACAGAGTATCGTGCTCTGGTTTTACTTTTTATGTAAGTAATATTGTACTATAAATATTCCTAAACAACTTGTGTTTTCCTCTCAACATTCTATTTTTAAGATAATTCAAGTTGACATCTATAGATCTAGTTCATTTATTTAAACTATACCATACTATTTGATTATATGAATATACAACACTTTATTTATACAATTCATATTGTTGTATAATTAGGCTATTCCATATTCGTGTGTGTGTGTGTGTGTGTGTGTGTAGAGGGAGGGAGAGAGAGAGAGAAAAGAAAAAGAATGTGGTGAATATTCTAGACCATGTGTTTTGGTATACATGTGAAAGAGTTTCTCTAGGATACATATCTTGGAAAGGATGTTAGATTACTGACAATGCATATTGTTGAATTTACTAAATATCAACAAAATGATCACCAAAGAGGTTGACCTAGTTGACCCTTCTGCTAGGTATGGATGACATTTTGTTTCCCCACATAGTGTCCAGTACTCAGTATTATCAAATTAGAACATTTTTTAATAGTGGGTCCATGCTATTTCTTTATATAAGTTTGCAATTCTCTGATTACTGATGAGGTTGAGCATCTTTTATAGTATTTATTGACTCTTCAGTTTTCCTCTTCTGTCAATTGCTCATACTTGTACTGTGCCCATTTTTATCTATTGGGTAACAGAAAACTGTCTTACATCATCCAGATACTTCTCTGAGGCTATGGTTTGTCTTCTAACTTTAATGCCAGTATATTGTACAAAAGTTTAAAATTTTAATGTAGTCTAATATTATCCTTTATGATTTATACTTATTTGTGGTTTATATTAGAAATCTATTTTTTTTAAGATTTTATTTATTTATTTGACAGAGAGAGGAACAGCAAGAGAGGGAACACAAGCAGGGGGAGTGGGAGAGGGAGAAGCAGGCTTCCCATGGAGCAGGGAGCCCGATGCGGGGCTCGATCCCAGGACTCTGGGATCATGACCTGAGCCGAAAGCAGATGCTTAACAACTGAGCCACCCAGGTGCCCCTAGACATCTATTTCTACGTACAGTATTTCAAAACATATTGTTCTGTATTTTCTGCTAAAAATTAACTTTTGGCATTTGAAATTTTAATCCACATGGAATTTATTTTTGTTTATGGTATTATTCAGATCTAGCTTTCTTTTCTTCCATATGGATAGTCTAGTCTCCCCACACTATTTATCGAATACTCCATTGTACCATAAATTACTTACCTAAGAGTCATTTTCCTCTTTCTCATGTTGGCAGAACACCAATTTGTTCCAGTGTCTACTCTTTTCCAAAATGATTCAGGCAAATCCTGATTGCTCTCAGAGTACATTGGTATTCTCATTTCCTTACCTAATGATTAGTTTAGCAGTTCAAGCCAAAGACAAGCAAAGGGTAGTTTGCTGGAAGTATTTCTAGGAAAGATTTTCTTTTGCCCTGACGGAAGATACGTAATGAAGAAACAGTCTCTTTTTTCTGCTTCTTGATGTTTGGGACATGAGTATTTTGTGATAATGAAGGGAGCTCACTGAGATCCTGAGGAGACAGGTAGAACTTGGATCTTTGATGACTTTGAACCTTAGCTCAAATATCTTGTTTTGTGAGATAATAATTCTTCTCATTGTTTAAGCCACTTAAAAAATGTTGATTTTCTCAGGGCGCCTGGGTGGCTCAGGTTAAGCGTCTGCCTTCAACTCAGGTCATGATCCCAGGGTCCTGGGATCAAGCCCCACCTCCAGCTCCCTGCCCAGCAGGGAGTCTGCTTCTCCCTCTCCTTCATGTTCTCTCCCGCTATCTCTCTCTCTCTCTCTCTCTCAAATAAAATCTTTTACAAAAATGTTGGTTTTCTTATTTAGAGCCAAAAGATATTCATCTTTTTCCTACTGATACGTAATGTACTAAAATCCCATATAACAGTGAGTTTATTTCTCAGTTTCTAGTCTGTTCCAGTGGCCAGTTTATCTGTCACAGAATTAATACCACGATGTTTTAAAATCAGCATGTCCAGCTTATGATTTTCTTTCTAAGAGGGAATTATTAGATTTATTTGTGGGTATTTTAAAGATTTAATTACCACTGTGAATTGAATTTTTAAAGATTCAATTTTCTGACTGTCCATTGCTGGCATATAGGGAAACTCTTCACTTTTGCCTGGTGATCACATGTCCATCAACTTTGCATTGGCATTTGTGTTTGTTTCTTCCTTTCTACACTTTCTTGATACCACTTTCTTTTTTAGTGCTCTGACCAGATACTAGGACACTCTTCAACAGAGGCAGTGAAAAGAGGCATCTTCATCTTATTCCTGACTTTAAAGAAAATGTTCTAAAATTTTACCATTAAATATTGTTTGCTGAGGGTTTTTTTCTTTAATTAAGCTTAGAAAGTTTCTTCCTAAACCTAGTTTACTGAATTGTTGTTTTGTGGTTGTTTTTTATCCTTCATGAGTGTTGAGTTTCATTTCTAAATTCATTATGAATTTTTTTAGTTGGCTATGTAGGGTTTTTTCTCCCTTAATTGTTAATGTGGTGAATTGTATTTGTAATTTTTTTAATGTTAAATAATCATTATTGCATTCCTGGATAAGTTCAGCTTGGTCTTACACACACACACACACACACACACACACACAACTGGATTTAGTTTGCTAACACTTTACTTAGCTATTTTCATTTATGCTCATAGGCGAAATTAGCATATAATTTTTCTTCATTGTGCTCTGTTGTCTGGTTTTGAAACAAAGGTTATGGTAGTTTTTTTAAAATCAGGGTGAGTTTCATTTTTGTATTTTCTGGAGCTGTTTGTATAAGAAAGGAATCACAGTTGCTCAACAGTGAAATATCTCTAAGGAATCATCTCAAATAGCTTTGTTGTTGTTAGATTTAGATTTTTATTGCCAGTTTAGTTATGTAAATGTTCCTAGATCTATTTAATTCTTCTGTTTCCTCTTGAGATTATTTTGGTAGTTTATATTAGCTTAAATCAGCTATTCATTTTTATTTTCAAATTTATTAGCATACATTTTTTCATAGAATTCTCATAAGAATTGAAATCTCCTTTGAATACACAGTTATATTCCATTTTTAAATGCCTCGTGTTTTTAATGTGCTCACTTTGGTCTTATTTTGGTCAGTATTGGCGGGATTTTATGAATCATTCTAAAGATTCAGCTGTCTGTCTCTGCATCTGTCGAGCTCATCTGTACCGATGCCTGTACCTATCTGTTTAAGGCCAGGAGTTCATCCGAAGGCCCCAATTCTAATCGAATACCACAGGGTTATTGTAGCGTTCTCCCTTTACATATTTGTAACTTCCCTCTCTGACAGTGAAGAACCTGTCTCCCATTACTCTAAACATATTTAATGACGTGACAAGTTCCCCCCATACATAATCAATCTTCCATTAGAGGTGCTGCCCCTCTCATGCCCTCCACACCTCACCTGAACTCTGTCTTCCTGTTGTAGGCCATGGCCAAGTCCACATAGATATTCTCTTCCGCTTCACACCCAGGTGGCCCTGCTGAAACCCCCACAGGGATGCCTTTCTTACATCGCTTGAGCTCTGACATCTGGCACCGTGCTGCCCCCACCTTGCCCTCATCCATGGGTGTCCTCCTCACTCCTCTCAGGCTCCAGAACCCCCCAGCAGGCCCCATTGCTGCTCCTGTGGCACAGATGCCTCCTCACTCTGCAGGCTCTGGCTCCCTGCCAGAGAACTGCTGTGGCCAACCCTCTGTTCAGATGCTCTGACCTCCCTGCTCAGGCCCTGGCAGGGTCTTGGGATATTACTTTCCTCCAACCTCCAATGAATGCTTTTCTCACCTCCTTTGGTTCTGACAACCCATATAGGACTGCTGCTTCATTTGCCCCCACATCCCGTGTCCCCCCTCCTACCATGCCCTCCTCACCCCACAGGGGCCTTGATAGACTTTTGTACCCCCCCCCCACCTTGCTCAGGTTCTGGTACCCTGCACTGGGCCCTCACTGCCTCCGGCTTCCCCGTGGATGTCCTCTCTATCCTCTTGGGGTTCTAACAGTGCTGGGTTCTGCCACCCACCATGTAAAGATGCCCTCCTCACCCTCCTGTGATGGCGACAGCCTGCACGGTGGCTTCCCCCCCGCCATGGATACCCTTTTTCATTCCTTTGGGCTCTGGTAACCTGCTC